CAATGTGCAAAAATATATTATTAGTTGGAACTAAGTTGGAAAAATAAATATGAAGGTCAATTAAATTATAAAACATGAGATAAAGCTCTCCTTTTTAAATTTAATTGGCATATTTTTAATTGAATTTATTTATTGGTCCATTTATCTATTTCTGCTTTTTTTTCTAGTTATGTCAGTGTCGGTCCTCCATACTGCAGAACTTGGACGAGGTAATTCAATGTCTGAATCAGGTGTGTGGAACAGGGAAAAACATAAAACCTGTAGGGCTGCGGCCCTCCAGGACCAGGATTGCCCACCCCTGGTTTATAGCTTATTAAGTAACAAATTTGGAAGTGTTAATTCAACTCCCTGGGCGTTATATTTAACACTTTGAAAGTGTCTATATTGGTCCACCCTGAATCGAGTTAAAAGTTAAGACTGTGACAGAGTTGGAATGACGCTCTAAATCAGAGAAGCCCAAAGTGGGGCCCCCGGGCCAAATTTGGCCCACCAAGCCATTTGATTTGGCCCACCAGCAGTTGTATAGTAACAAGCTTGTAACCTGTCATACTATGTAGAAACACAGTATTTCCACTGAAAGTTGTTTTATCCATTGGTAATATGAATATAGATGCAGATACTATAAGACCTTTTTTCTTCTTTCTGCCATCTTTCATTTTATTTGTGATTTGTATTTTTATTGTACATAAATTTTGTTAATATATAAGGGAATGTAGTGCAGATAGTTTTCACTGATGGTGCTGACTTTATCTTTGATACAGTATATTAATATTAAACATGAAACGTGAAACACAAGTAACAACAAGAGATATTTAGATTAGATTTAACCCCACATGTAGATTTGCCCACGTTATAAGGCCACAAAAACTCATATTTTATCAATTTATGAAATGTCCCATGAGCCTTTGCTGCTTGAGCGTATGGCAGACTTCACTAAAAACCAAAGTGGGCCATTGCACTGGCTGAAAGATTAATCATTAAAAATAAGGTACTTTATTTAAAAAGTATTTGTATTTCATGTATTCCATTACTACGTTTGGCCCACAGCCCTGGATTGATGATAATTTTGGCCCACTTGGGGGAAAAGTTTGGGCACCCCTGCTCTAAATAGTTGAAATTTAACACATAAATGTTGAATTTACCTAACACTAGTGTTTAGTGTTAAAGGTTAACACTACCAAAGTGTTATTTTAATACTGACCAAGGTTAAAAAATAGTAACACTATGGTAAGCGTTAATTATTACTCAGTAATAATGGGTCATGCTCAAAAGCATCGTAGCAAATCAGAAAAGCCAACTCCCATCAAATGAGAGCTAATTCCCCAAGTTTATCCTCCTTTGCTGGCCATGTGACCATTCACATGTGAGGATATAGGTCTTGGGCGGGCAACCATGGGTGGACTACACACACTCTGGCTCAGAGTTAGAATCACCTGTTTTTAGTGTTGCATTAACACCGTGCATTAGTCAGCACAATGGCACAAGAAGTCACCGTTCACATACCAGGAAGTACCTCTCACTCATGGTGTCGATTTGTGACCAATAACAGACTTAAACATGAACAACTAACTAACCTGAACAAGACAACTAACTAGAACAACTTATTTTTACACTCATAAACATTTTTAATAGTCATAAACATGCATACACATCATTTCCACACGGTTACCCAGAATCCCTTGCTTAGAAAATTCTGGCATGAGGTGGAAGAGGGCAGGTTTTTCAGAATACCTTTTCAACACTGCTTGGTGTTAAATAACAACACTGATGAGTGTTATTTAACACTTAACAGTGGACGGAGCTTACTTAACTCTCTCCAGAGTTGAGAAAACACTGATAAAATCAACTCAGTGAATTAACACCAACACTGGATGTCAGTTAATTATTATTTTTTTGAAAATAACACTTTGGGAGTTAAAATCAACTCTGAAAAGGTTAACACTGAAATTTTAACACTTCCAGTTTTGCTGTGAATGAATCATCATTACTAAAACATGTTTTCAAGGTTAACTAACTATTTATTTAATGATTAATAAAGATAAATAAAATGTAGGTATTATAAAGTGTTAGCTATTTTGATTGGATCATTTATTTATTTACCAGGCAATTAAAAAAAGATGCAGGATTGTACATTCGAGAGAATGTAGACCAGGGCTGTTCAACTAAACTGCTCCGGGGGCCACAGTTACTGCAGACCAACAGCTGAGGGGGCGAATATTCAGTAATTAAAGTCATTATGTAAATAATCCAAAAATTACAAAGATCTGTTACCTTTGAAATAGTTTATTTTGCTGTATTTAATCATGAATACAGCATATAGAACACTATTAAAGTAATCGTAATTAAACAATATCAAAACAAAAAGAACACATTCTGCCTCCTATTTAACACAAATAATATTTTGACATCTCTGACTTGCCAAATTTTTAAACCAATTTTATTTTCAATTTCATATTTTTATTTTCAACTGCTTGTATCTTTAACTGTCTTGAGTGGGTGTGGAAATGCTTTTTACCAGCTTGTAGCCAAGATTCTGATGTTTCTGTAGACATCAAACATGTCTGTGTTTAACTAAAAGAACTAAAGGGCTCGACACACGGGCAGCGACAAACTACAGCGATTAACGGCTGTCGTCGCAGCCAGGGTGAAACCCGACACACGGGACGTGATAGCGATCGCAGCGTTGCGAATCGCGCTCTCAGGTCGCTTGTCTTCACAAAATGTGATTGGTTCTTGACTCTGAAGGCGGGTGTGCATTACAGACGTGTAAACTAAACAAATCTTGTGATGCTAATGATATTGAAAAACAAACACATTAAGATACAGTTTTATGAGGAAAAACTTACCATAAACTTCACCCTGGTGCCAATAAATTCCCACAAAGCTTTTTAGTAACCACTTGGTGAAAGTGTTAGCTAACTGCAGTGTGTAGCATACTCTCCTCTCATTGGTCAGTCAATGAAACCCTCGCTGATTGGTTGTACACTAAGCGACAGCGACAAAAGTTGAACATTTTTCAACTTTCATATGTCGCGTCGCCAGCTCGCGTGTGCACGTCTACGTGTACGAGCGCAAAATTTCACATGCACTATTTTCACCGGTCGCTTAGCTGGAGGAGGGTGAGCGATTGTCGCCTCACCGCACAGGCTCCATAGGAAATGAATGGAGAGCGAGCGACGTCGCCTCACGTGTGTCGAGCCCTTGAGAGTAATTAAAGTAGAAAACCGAGGATTTGGGCCGAAGAGATGAATGAATCAAATGGCGGGCCGAACTTTGGTCACTTGTGGGCCGGATGTGGCCCGCGGGCCGCCAGTTGAATAGCCCCGATGTAGACTTCTATAACTTGTCCAACAGAGTTGTTTCACAATGCAGCAGCTTGAGGTGATGCACATACACACACATGCAAACACACACACACACACACACACACACACACACACACACACACACACACACACACACACACACACACACACACACACACAGTGAGCAGGAAGCTCTGATGAGGTTCGACTCACCACTGTCGGAGGACTTTAACCACCTTAACACATTCCCAGATTGTTGGAGAGGCGTTCGTGCATTCCACCCAAAACACGTCAGCCTACTTCCTGGTTTTTTCTCCTTTTTTCTGACATCCTGCACCATTGGGGGCTTGTGCTTTGGCTTTGTTTGCACTCGAGACAAAAACAATTTCCTGCACCTTAATGTGATGTGCAGCATTATAATGGCTGCACTGAGACCTTAAAAAAACACTTTGTATCAAATAAAAATGTAATGTGTATGTTTTACCATTGTGCAGTGTTTCCTTCAAACAAGTTATATTTGTACATAAAATGTCTTTGCTTGTGTGTAAATAAGAGTAATATGTGTAAATTTGTCTAACTCTGTAACTGCTTGTCCTTGTTGATAAAAACCTAAATGTGGCACAAATTTATGTTGAAATATAAACATTACTTTACTGAACTGCCAAGTTTCATGATAATGACATTGCAGATCTTGTTGTTTATGTTTCCTGCAGTTGCTCTACAACCACAGATCGGAATCTCGGCTATTTTTGCTGGAAATTGAGTAATTTTTGAACTTATATCCAAAGCCAATCTAAGCACCTGTGTCTTGCCAAGATGTGGGATTGTGCAACCTTTCACTTCAATAATAGTGGGAATAGGAAGTCCAGTTAAAAATGAACTTCTTGTCACCAAGCTGATGAAAACATAAAAGAGACTATAATTCATAAGGAGGACCAGTTCATTTGTGTTTTTAAAGAAGAAAAAAGTTTTATATTTAGTTACATTAGCTTGAATTACCGGTAATTAAAAAGTTGAAAGAAAAAGAAAGTCTAATGACTTTGAAACTTAGCGATTTACATTTCAGGACATAATATAAATGATCTCATCTTTAGACTCAGATTAAATCTAACTTTAAATAGAGGAAAACAACATATTCCACGTTGTTATTTATTAAACAAAAACAAAGTCAAAATGGAAAAAAAAAAAATTTTTTTCTAATTGTTTTCTCATGAACGTCAGTGTTTAA